GCCGCGTTACTTTCATTCGTTATACTTTCATATTCCTGAGAAGCGAGAAATACCGAGATGCCGATCTTCGCACGCTGTTCATTGTACCGCGACACTTTCGTGCTTCGGCAGGAATATAACAAAGAAAATAATTCTACCACGCGCGTGCGCATCTCCACAGACACGTTGTCCGCGAACGTCTTGGATTAGCCAGCCGGCGCGCTCGTCATTGTCTCTAATACCCGAGTGAAAGTCCACGAAGCTTAATGACGGATGGACGAACGGAAATGCACGAGAGATGCACGCCACAGCGAGATTCTCGACTTGCACGAGAGCGTATTGCATATCCCTCCTCTTCTTTGCCAGTTCCAGTCCCATATCGCGTACCGAGCGTGTTCTCCATTCCTCTCGTCGCGAATCGCGCTCGTCGCGCTCGTAATTTCACTTCCGAACGGTATTCTCCGGCTTAACGAGCGGATAATACGACGGCACGCAGCGAGAAACGGCTAGGCCAATTCCGGCAAAACGCCAGGGATCCGTGAAACCCCCCCCTCGGTCGAGGGTATTTTTTTCGATTTCTGTTGGAGAACTCCGCGGAAGAGAGGCTCGTAAACGAACGATGCGCGCGATCTTAAATGGAGAATGAAGTGCGAAGTGAAACTTCAAACGGATTTAAGAAAGGAAAATCTAATCGTAAACCAGTGTCCGGGCAGGGAAAAGAAAATACAAATAGACACACATTAATATGTTTCCAACTTAATATTGAAAATGAAGTAAATAATTTAAAAGTAATAACGCGCACGCACCCGCACGTACACACTCACACACCGATACGTACACTCGCGCACAAAGAGATAATATTTTAAATGATTTAATGCTTTAGAATATTATATCAGGGACTTCTATTGCGTGGCCGTAATTGCAGCATCATTGACATATAAGAAGCCCTTTAAAAATTCTTGACGTTTGACCTAAATATAAATGTCAGTTCCTTCAGTTTCTTCAATATGACGAAAAACATCTCTGTCTTCAATATTATTTGACAGTATCAATATTAAAATTCTGATATGTTATTCAAACACAGAGCACCTGAAACTTTCGTGTCTCAGCCATTATCTGTCTACGTGTAGACGAATGAAAAATCTTGCCACATTTAGAAATTTTAGAACACGGAGGCAGGTTTTAATGCGAGCAGAAAATCCTGATCAAACGGGAATAAAAACGCGTCTCCGTGAAACTAGAAAAATATACTCGCCCATTACTCTAGGAATAAACGATACGCACTTTATCTGGAGAAGGATGATAGGTAACTATTTGCAAGCATAATGAATGAGATTGAATTGACTGATAATTCATACAACGATATAAACGGAAACGAATTACGGGCGATGAGACTTCAGAACTTAATCACGTTCGATTTGCGCACCAGACGCTTATCACAATTCATCGGACGAGTAGGAACTAAGTACAAAACCACTCTACTATCTATGAAATTATCTAAAGTATCTCACCCCGTCGTTACACACGTAACGTCGCGTTTCGAGATCCGCAAGAGCCGAGTTTTTGTAAATGCGTTTGAAATGTCATAAGATCCAAAAAATATTTGGGACGTCGATTAGAGACGAAAAAGCAACGTAACTTGAATTCTAAATTGAAGAATCTCAAATAATAAGAAATATTTATTTTAAAAACATTTCTTTTAAATTACACATTATATCTTCTTTTAATACTTACGTTTATTTATTTTTTCCTATTTATTTAATCTCTTGAAAATTGTCACTTTTAAATCTCACTATCTGTCCTTGATGTTGACGTCAATCTCGAAACACGGCGCTCTCATCCTTTATCGACAAATAATGATACAATATATGAGCAATCAGGTATAACGAGCGTAAATATATTACATATTCTCCTAGGCGTTTTTATGCATATTGCGTATAGCGGCCTTTCGAAATCGGCGCTGTAATAATAATATATTTATATATATAT